TCATTTCCTCAAGTGGAACAATATATCATCTAGAATATTATCTAGAAACGAAAAAAATGCGGTAGAATTGAGGAATTGAGACAGTTCTGCTGATAATACTTAGGTATTGATGAAAGATGGTAGGTGTTGTTTTTTTTTGTTTTGAACGGAAGGAAATAACACGAGAGGTTAGTACTTCATCATCATGTGTGTCGTCGTTTTGTTGTAAAATTAACGATTCAAATAGTGTGAAGAATTGGGTGAATATCGTATGTCGTTTTGAAGAATAGGAGAGCGAATCAAATATATTTTGTAAGATGTCGTGGTATGGTATTTCGTAATATAGTGATGGAGGCGAGAGAATATTTTTTTTGTTTTCGTTCATTTATTGGTTCACGTGTTGAATATGGATTGGCTTGAATGTATTTGTATTGTGATTATTTATATTACTTTGTTTGCTTTACATATATAAATGTAGATTAGTGCTTATATTAGTTTATTTATTTTATAATAGTGCTAAGGCTTAGTTCATTTATGTTAGAATTGTGCTTGTTTCGAGTTTTCGCTAGTTTTTCTACCGTACAATGATATAGAAATTCGGAATTGATTGTATCTTGGGACCACAATTGTCTTTGTGTGAACGGCTTCGGCTTCGTTTAGATTAATTACTTTCAGATTTCTTACTATTATTTCATATTTGCGAATGCCGAAACAACGATCGAAATTTGATGAATCGATGCTTCATCATTTTGACCGTGCATTTCATACAATTATTACAAAACATCATGTCGATCTTCGTTATGTTTTATCACCTTATCTACATAACATGTTACTTTATCATGCAAAACGTCATGAAATTGATTTTGTTGGCTATACATATGAATTAATTGGAATTATGTCGTATTATTTGAAATCATCGTATATTTATCGATTTAAGAGCTGTGAAAATCCTTCACCAACACATTTTTATCAAATATTAATCGCTCTTTCAGGTAGAAAAAATTTATAATTGCATATTTTATCTATAGAATAGATGTTTTGGTAGCTTTTGGTAAATCAACACTTCATACGTTACTTAAATCATCAGTGATGAATGAATATAGTGTTCGAATGAATGGTGAAGAATATAATCATCGAAAATCTGGTTTTCTGGATGGTTTTGATGCTTTTGTCGATGAAACAAGTGCTGCTGGACTGCAAACAGGTCTCGTTAATGGAGATAAAATGATATTTAGCGATGAAGGAGACAATATTCTTAAAACTAATGGTCTTTTGGTTGATGAGGGTGCATCGATATCCTCTATATATGATTTACATAATTTTGTTTTATCTTATTATGTAGGCATTTATTTATATTGACTCAACAGTACTTCATAGGTTTTTTATTTTTCTATCTTAGGGTGCAATTAGAACGTTTAATAAAGAGTTAAAATCAGGTTCACTAGCAGCTAACATAGGTCGTTTAACTATTAGTTGTCTAAGTACAAGTGAACCAATTATCAGAATGCTGGCACGTCGTTTTAGTGGCGGTTCTACTTGTCCAATGCTTGAGCGATTCGCCGTTTTATATGCTGAAACGAAACCAAAATACTCTTTCCAGCGTCCACAAACAATTAAACATAAAATGCCATCATTATCTCAGTATATTATGGTTCTTGGACAAATGTAAGTATTTTGATTATCTGACAATAAGCCATATCTTTCCATATACAAATTGAATAGGTATCGGCTCAGGAGTTCGTAAAGAAATATGTTTTTTGCGGTAAAATTTAATAGATTCAAAAGTGATTGTTTACAAGAAAATGCTTATTTACATTAGTATCAAATTGATACTTTCTTCAAACGAGGATGACTTATTTTTCACTTCGTTAGCTCGAAAATATGACACAATATTTTGACTAGCATTAAGAAAAACACACTGTTCTTGTAACACTTGATATCGAATAACCAGCGTGGGATTATTTTCGTAAAGAGAAAAACAATAAAAAAGATCATGATTGTTGTTATTGTGATTTAGAATTACTGAAACTTGACGTATAAGATTATTTTATTTCTAGAAATAATATAGATTTTTATTTTGATAATGATGCTGAAAATCTATATGCTGCATACGGTGATGCTTTAACATATGCAAGTAAGTAGAAAATTCATTTGTTGTCTCCAAATAATATGATTTCATTGCTCATTTTTAGTGAAAGAAAATGAACGAAATGCTCCATGGTTGAGTACTCGATTCGGTAAAAGCAGAGACCATTCACTTCGTCTTTGTGCCCTTATTCAAGGATTGGAAATGGCAGCTGTTGTTTGTCATGATCTTTTTGTTGAAGATCCGACATATATTAATGGCTTTGCAGATAAACGGTTTTTTGATGCAGCTGTAAAAAAAACCAATGAACTTTTTTTTCCATTATCAAATGATCAAAGACGTTTATCAATTGGAATTGAAGTTGTACAAAGTGCAATTTATTTGACTAACAAAATTATTGAGCAATATCGAGAGATGTTTGAACCGAACAAGCGTGAACTAAGGCAAGTAACATATATACAACTGATATAATAAGTTTTATATCTAATTGTATTTGCTCTTCGTCTTTTTAGTCGAATGGACTTATCATTAGTAACTGAAGTATTACCTACCGAACAAAAGAATGTTGGTATGAAGAGAAAGCAAAATGTTACTGGTTATGAAGAAGATCACCTTCAAGGTGAAGAAGAATCAACATCGACCAAATATAACAACAATAGATTAACTAACAAAAAGGTTCGTGAAAATCAAACTGTAGCAAAAGCAGTTTCTATGTTTAATCCAACATCTGATGAAGGTATTAGAATTATTAAATTAATTCTTCTTGTCAATGCTTCCATCTTAACCAAATCAGTATGGTCGCGTCATCCGACTCTCAAAAACTATATTCCATTACTTGTACCAGCACTTCAACATTTAATAGATGTGGAACTATTAATGGTATTTGAACGTGGTGCCATTGTTACTTCAAATGAACACCGATTCGTACCTATTTATATTAAAAAGATGATTTCACCTTTATCTGCAAAAGAAAATATGGCATTGTCCAAATTATTGAAGATGTTCAATATTGAACACTCAGTATATGTTGCTACATGGTCCAATATTTCTTTATCTTCGACAATTACGTTAACAGAAGAAGTATATGATTTTTTATCTGCTGCACCATATTCGACATTTATATCTGATAATATTATTCAATGGGCTCCAAAATGTCGACGACAATTATCGTCCAATATTAAGTAAATATACAGTGTGAGATGCAAACCGATTTGGAATACAAAAACTTCTGATAAAATTCTCACTGTTTAATACATTATACATATAAAATTTCATTGGTTTTCTGTTTCGAATTAATGTGTCTGAACTATTTTCTATAGCTACTTGAGTTTTTCTAAGTTAGTCGTCCATTACAGTTTTTTTTGTGTAGTAAGTACGTCTGCCATTTTTGAAGATATTATATTATCAATGATACCAAAAATATTGAACTTATTTTATAGTAACAGTCAAACAAGAGATCATAGTGAAATTACACAAACAGTCATACCTTTAACACACGCATCAGCTTCATCGATAAATGTCCGCACAAATATGGTGAGTAAAATTTCTTACAATGAAAGACATTGTTAATATCAATGCTCTTTTTGTTTCAGATGCCAAAAGTATTAATTGGTTCTTCTAGTAATATAACAATTCATAACAATGAAATAGAACAAGAAAATCATCAACAGGAACAAACGAACAGTGTACCAATGGAAACGACAAATCAACCACTTACTCTTTTACCAGTCGGTAGTTTACCAACAGCAGCAAATTTAATGTTAACACGACAAACAATTCATAAAAAATTTAAAAGATAAATTGGTAAGGGAAAATTATAAACTAGTAACAATATATTAGTGCATTAATATTCTTATTGTTTTGTCAATTTTTTTTCCTTCTTTCAGTTATGTTAACAACAATCTTGTTCAATGATTGCACAGTCTTATTCAAATATTCTCTTGAAACATTTCAAGCGAAAGTACTGATTTTGCAAAAAAACTTATACATATTTTTGTCTCCTTTTTTCTGTTTTTCTCTACTTAAACACATTTTTTTTTGTACAGTTCATATTCACAATCTGATTGTCCTATTTCATACTTGCCTTTTCCCTTCATTATAACAATGCTAGTCAATGATAGATAAAGATAAATACACCAAAATATATTATTAACATAAATTTCATACCTGTTGAATTAAGTACTATCAAAACTCTATCATATTTTGTTATTTCTTTGCTCATCGTATATCAGTTTACTCTATTATTTCGATCTCTTCTTTTGTTAAACTGATGTATTAGAACATGTAAAGTGTCCTCAAAATTTAGTGAATGAGTGATTGAAAAGGAAATATAACTTTGAAGACATGTGTTAAAATAAACGTTTTTCATAAAATAAATGAATGAAGTGAACATCAACGCTTTTGTTTTGCTTTACCTTTTTACTTATACTTTTTTCACTGCAGTCGTTTCAGATATGAATTACATGATGAACAATGAGCAAACAGCTAGTTATTCGAATATTTCTCCTAAACTGTCTCTATCAACGTCTTTTGCTGCAATCGAAGAATTATTTAATATATCAGAACTGATATTTATTGAACACCTTAATATTTATTTCCATGAATTGACACCGAACAAAGCAATACACATTGGAAATATTTGTTCAAATGTATTTCATCGGTTTATTGATGAAGACATGATAAAATACGTTTTAAGTTTGTTTCATAATGGATTTCTACCCAAATTGAATTTGTATTTTGGTTTACAGAAGAATATTCTAAATGTAAGTACTGCTTACACCTAGTAGTTCGTCCTTACTTTTTATCTTAACTACATCATACGTGATCTTTCTTGAGTGTTCACTGAAGTGTGAACGTATATCTTTTTTGATGTCGAACTTTTAAGATGTAAATTCAGAATATTTGGACAATAAATACTTAGTTTTGCAGATAAAGAAAACTAAGAACATTTTCAAAAACTATTATTGAAGGCTTCCTAACAACGAATCTTACTATAATTAAAAGTTTTAAATTGTGTATCATTGCTACTCTCCAAGTTATTAAATGATCATGATTGAAACTCTGAAATATAACAATTTTAAGTTTAATAATCGTTATTTATATATTTCTAATAAATCAACAATTATTTTACTCACTTGAATTAGCGCGCTTAGTTTTAAGTGAAGCTCATCCAATATGTCAATGTCTTATTAGAAGATAGAGAATTAAATAAAAATATCATAATTTTTAAATTCGTATGTACATTAACATATTTTGTTCTTTTCCAAACATCTAATTCATTCATATCTGATGGAAGTCATGTTTATCAATATTATTTTGTAATAATATAATACTTGATTTTAATAATTCTCATAATAGTTATTTGTCTATTTGCTTGTGCCCTGCAACTAAGCTATGTTATTTGCACCCTACTATCAGATATTGATATTGTATTATTTCATATAACTGAAGATGCAATACAGATTAAATCTTTGTTCATAACTATTGAATGCTTTTGCTTCGATAAACGAAGGCTTTAAAATTCTTCGTCATTTTTTTTCTTTTAGATGTATGCAGAACGAAATAGTTTATTTACACTTTCATGCAATGTTCTATCTCCAATAGCTGCACAAAACTGTACGGAATGTAGTAAAGGTTTTTCTAAATTATTGTCTAAAAAGGTGACATTTTATCACTATGATGGAACCATTAGTAATGGATTAGTTATTTATTACTGTTGTTCTCATGCTGGCACTTACCAACATCAAGAACCTGCAACAATGCAATATCCGAATTTTATCGAATCTTTAAAAGGAAAAATATTTGATCAAGAATCGTTCAAAAATTCAGATTATTTGTATATTGGAGGGGAGAAAGTTTTTTCCAAAAAATTACTTGTACAATATGAAACACTTCTTGTCACATCACACACAAGTTTTCAAGGGTTTACACAATCATATAATCTGATTCATAACTACGAATATAACGATGAAAGATTTATTGAACGACGAATATTTTCACAAACATGGATTACATTCCAATTAATAACATTAGCGTTTTTTATGGGATATGAGCAGATCATATTAGTAAGTACCTTGTTTTATAGTTTCAGACAAAGGGAAATTTTAGAGAGTAATTATTTGTATTCATTATAAGGATTCTTATTAGTTTGCCTGTTTTTTTGAACAAACGAGAAAACAAATTCAAACGACTTACTCAAACAATGACATGTGGAAATCTGAAATAGTATTAACTATTCTATCATTGTCTTTCGAATCTTATACACAATTATTTTCAAAAAATTTTGAATATTCATAATTTACTGTTTTATTTTATGTAGCCACGTACTATGAACCGCAACAAAATTGATCTTTTTTTTTACTCCATTTATCAACAACTCTATGTATGTTTTGTCAAATTTTGGCTTAACCATGCGGAATATAAGTCATGTGGTGTAAAATGTTCTGCAGCTTTAGTTATAGATGGTAACCAAAAAATGAGACGCCGCATATGCTTGGACAAAACAAACACCATATCGACACCTGAAATTTCTTTAATCAATATCGGATGCGATCAAACACCATTGTATAATTCTCTCTATTGTGGCGTACATACACCTTCCAATCATCCCAGATCAATTAACAAAGATAAAAGTACTAACAATAATCTAATCTTTCAATCAAATGTTAAACGTAAATCAAGGACCATAAGAAAACGTCCAATTTCAAAAACAGTTATTATTGAACATGAAGAGATCAGCTGTTCCACATTAAAAGAAAGGCCTAGTCGATATATAGATAAATGTATGCGCTCTTTCGGTATTATTGTCTATGTAACAAATTGCAACGTAATAGTTGCTTTTAATGAAATTTTTCGTTCTGAAACCATTAAGGAAATCCTAAATGGGATCATTTCGATCGTTAACATTTCCCCATCACTGCCGCGCTGTATCGTCTACGATGACGCCTGTCATTTGATCCGACGTCTAATAGATGGTCAAATAAAAAATCAAATCAATGTCACTCCAGCTATTTTATATTTAAACAATAAAACCTTTAATATAGATCGCATGCATTTGTTGAACCACAGAGATAAGTGGTGTAGAGATAATTTAGACCCAAAGAGCAATCCATTGTTGCAAGATGTTAATACCGAGGCCTGTGAGCAATTGTTTAGCTTCACGAATGGGTATGCTAAGGCGTTCACAAGTATGAATGCAGCTAGGTGCAGACTGATGTTGTTAATAACTTTTCATTTACGTAATTGTTTCTTAAAGAAAATAAATCCCCATGATTTTAATACAGCAACAGAAATTGTGGAAAAACATCGCCCACTACTTATTTAACTTTTTATAATAAATTTGAGTTCTATATGATTTTTATTACAATTTCTTAATCAAGTCGTTTAGCCCTACTATGTTTAAAGTTGTTTTTCTCGACTAATCAATGTTTCATGTGTGTCATACTAAGTCTTTAGGAAATATCAGATATTATTTATTACCTTTTTATTTCATGTGATTGTTATACTCATACAGAAGTTCGTTTTTATATTGTTTATATCATAAGACACATATCATTTACTTTGATGCACTCACTATGTAAGATGGATTCTTTTTTATCTGACACATTTTTTGTATACTTAAATATCATATTTTTGTTTTCTTAATAATAAATATCTTAACAGAGTTGAAATGATATGACTCATTTGTCTTCTTCTATTACTAAAAGCTCCATAATCACATATTACTTTTCTCTTGCTTATAAATATTTTAGATGCCTTCAACACGGCCACAACGAAAACAATCTGCTTCTCGTACTCAAGCAAAAAAGCAGAAAGAATGTCAAACCAAAGAACAACTAAATCAAAATACTGTTCAAGACAAAACTCTTGCTCAAGCTTCAGAACGATCCATATCGTCGAACGATGCCAACTATAATCCAAAAGTGAATAAAAAAGCTAAAGAGAAGTCACAAAAGATGGCAACAATTTTACAACAAGACAGCGACACACATGATGATGAAGCATTATCCTCTCGTCTTGTTTCCTCTCGTTCAAAACAAAAAGAAACAACACATACCAACTTTCATCAATACCAGGACGATCAGGAAGATGACTCTGGATCTGACACTGCAGAACCTGGACAATATGAAATCATCCATGATGATGCACTCCAAAACTATGAATCAGATGTTCAGGATGAAACACACGAAATAAATCCAGCACCTTCTCAACCAGCAACACAAACTCAGGTCCAACATCAACAAATCACGCATGCTCCAACCATGATCCATGATAATAATAATGGATTATATGATGACGAAGACAACGACACCAGTGTTCAGACAGAACCGGATATCACAGATCCATTCCAGTTTGACTTCACACATTACCAGGTAGTAAGAATTCTTCGTCCGCCTACGATCTTCGTGAACAATAACACAACACAACAAAAACAATAAATCATCCTCCTCAAATACACAAAAGTTCGTCACCTACATTCACAACGGACATACATAAACATACTACATTTTCTTTCTTCATTCCTATTGTTACTGCTAAACCATTGAATAAATACTAAAGAAAAATTTCACTATTTACATAAACACATCATAACACTATGAACATCAAAATTTTCTGTCGAACTTTTTATGACAATGAAATGAAGTCATAAAAAAAATATCTGACTGAACTAACAGAAATAAGTGTTGATTTCATCTACATATTCATCTCAATATTCAACTACTATCAGCAGAACTGTCTCAATTCCTCAATTCTATCGCATTTTTTCATTTTCCAGATAATATTTTACATGATATATTGTTCCACTTGAGGAAATGAATGACGGTTCCTTCAAGGTATTCACATCAATACCTAGGTATTATCAGCAGAACTGTCTCAATTCCTCAATTCTATCGCATTTTTTCATTTCTAGATAATATTCTAGATGATATATTGTTCCACTTGAGGAAATGAATGAAGGTTCCTTCTAGGTATTCACATCAATACCTAGGTATTGTCACCAGAACTGTCTCAATTCCTCAATTCTATCGCATTTTTTCATTTCTAGATAATATTTTAGATAATATATTGTTCCACTTGAGGAAATGAATGAAGGTTCCTTCTAGGTATTCACATCAATACCTAGGTATTATCAGCAGAACTGTCTCAATTCCTCAATTCTATCGCATTTTTTCATTTCTAGATAATATTTTAGATGAGATATTATTCCACTTGGAGGAAATGAGTGACGGTTCCTTCTAGGTATTCACATCAATACTTAGGTATTGTCAGCAGAACTGTCTAATTTCCTCAATTCTCTCTCGATTTTTCATCTCTAGATAATATTCATCATAATATAATATCAAGTGTTAACATGATATATTATTACACTTGGGGAAATGAATGAAGGTTCCTTCTAGTTATTCATATCAATACCTAGGTATTGTCAGCAGAACTGTCTCATTTGCTCAATTCTATCGCATTCTTTCGTTTTCCAGATAATATTCTGCATGATATATTACTGCAGTAGGGGAAATGAATGACGGTTCCTTCAAGGTATTCACATCAATACCTAGGTATTATCAGCAGAACTGTCTCAATTCCTCAATTCTATCGCATTTTTTCATTTCTAGATAATATTTTAGATGATATATTGTTCCACTTGGAGGAAATGAGTAACGGTTCCTTCTAGGTATTCATATCAATACCTAGGTATTGTCAGCAGAACTGTCTAATTTCCTCAATTCTCTCTCGATTTTTCATCTCTAGATAATATTCATCATAATATAATATCAAGTGTTAACATGATATATTATTACACTTGGGGAAATGAATGAAGGTTCTCTCTAGTTATTCATATCAATACCTAGGTATTATCAGCAGAACTGTTTCATTTCCTCAATTCTATCGCATTTTTTCATTTCTAGATAATATTCTAGATGATATATTGTTCCACTTGAGGAAATGAATGAAGGTTCCTTGTAGGTATTCATATCAATACCTAGGTATTATCAGCAGAACTGTCTCATTTCCTCAGTTCCATCGCATTTTTTTTCATTTCTAGATAATATTGAGCATTATATTTTGAATAATTGAGAGATATGTATTAGTGTTAAGTATTGTGATATATTGAACTATCGGTGTTGATAGTGCAGTGACTAAGTATGCTAGACGTGATCTATGAGCGAGGTCAGTTCCTTGTAGAGGTATTAACTATTAGTTCTGATCA